GTTTTATTATATATTTAGCATATTACCCCAATATAAGTAGTTGTCTAGTTCTTTACAGTTCTTTATTTGTGATTGTAGTTTACATAGTTTTGTTGTATTTGAGCATATCTCACAAATTTTTGTTCGGTTTTCTCTCGTTTTTCAAAGATTACGTCTGACTGTGTATGTACTCGCTACGTTTTTATATATATTTTTTTTTTGTTAATTTACATGTTCATGTCCTGTTTGTGTAATTGAGTATGTTGTAAAGTATGTTTACCGTATTTTCTTTGATGTGAACTGCTTGTGATCATTATTTCAAACCTTTTTTACTCGTTTTTCGAAAGATTACGTCTAGATCTACCCAGCTATTTGTAAATGTTTTTTGATGTTCTTTGTCATTTGTAGCTAATTTTCCTACTCATGTCTCGTTTTTAGCATAATTCGGTATGTTTTTATTGTATTAACCATATTTTATTACCTTTCCAACAAGTAGGTGTTTATTGGTGTTTGCATGTTTTTTCTTATAATTTTGATCTGTTTTAATATATTTTCATTGCATGTCACCTGCTTTGATCATTATTTCCTATTAGTCGGTCGATGCTTATTACTTTTTGCGTCTTGCCTCTTATAAGTTTAATGTTTTAATGTATTTTTCATTGAATGTCGACTGCTTTGATCATTAGTTCCTATCTGTCGATAGATGTTTTAGTACTTCATTGCATGTCGATATAATTTTAACATTTGCCCCCTGTCAGTACGTGTTTATTATTTTTTAACTTGTTGTACACATTAGTACCTCTTTTATTTTAGCCATGTTTTTCATTATTGTTTTTTGCTTCTTCTTTTTTGTAGAGTGTTTATTTTTACTGTAGTTTACATAGTTTATTATATATTTTAGTATATTTGACATTATATTTTGCTTATTTTTTCTTTGCAGGTATTTAGTTTGACATGATTTAACATAGTTTTATTATATCTTTAGCCTATTACCCCTGTATAAGTATTTGTCTAGTTATTTACAGTTCTTTATTTGTGACTGTAGTTTACATAGTTTTGTTGTATTTGAACATATTTCACAAATTTTTGTTTTGGTTGTCGTTTGTTTTTTCAAAGATTACGCCTGTCTGGGTATGTACTCGCTACATTTTTAATATTCTTTGTTGTTAATTTACAAGTTTGTATTTTTTGTCAATACCAATAACATATTATTGGATCTATCGAACGACAGGTCTTATTGGCTATCTGGTACTATTTTAGGGGGGTGCAATCGAGCGGACATCATTACTGTATAATAATATGCATATTTAGGTATTGTTATTTCCTAATTTCATTTTAAAAGTACAGATGATAAAAATTGTTTTTGTATAGTTATCGTTTTCTTGTAGTCTCGTAGTTAGATTGAAAACCACATATCCTGATAAGAAGCGTGCCTTCAGTTATTTTTCATAGTTTTTTATAGACTATTATTCAAAGGTAGTAAACATGTTTATGTGCTTTGGTCAAGTTATCGGCTTTTTGAAGGATTTTTGTTATAGATGCACGGGCTGGAAAGACTTGGTATACATTTTTAAATCAGTATGTAGGTAAGTGTTCAGTCATAAAAATTATACGTCGTATCGTTTCAGAATTTATACAGTAAAATATTTAACAGTAAAAGCGGCGTGTGTCTACTGTTTTCTGTGTTATTTTCTGAGAACATTGTGGTCGCTGTGTTAGTGTAAGTGTTTTCGCAAATAGTGTTTAATCAGACAAGTCATGAGTATTACATACTGCCTGTTTCTAGAGTGTCTTCAGTTCTAAAGAAGGTAATATGTGATATACGGTTGCTTGTATTTACATCCACGAATGCTGTATTCTGGATTTTAAGATATGTGTTTTTATTTTTCTTATTTTTTTTTTGCACGTATTTATTTGTGACTGTAATTTACATAGTTTTCATGTAATTCGGTATTTATTTAACTTTTTTTTTGCTCTACTTTTGCGGGTATTTATTTTTGTCAATAATTTGCATGTAGTATTTATTATATTTTTTAGCATATTAGCTAAGTATATTTGTGTATTTCTTTGTAGTTCTTTATTTGCGACAGCAGTTTACATAAGTTTATTATATTTGAGCATATTTTACAGATTTTCGTTCGGTTGTCTCATTTTTTCCAAAGATTACGTCTAGCTATACTCTACTATTTTTGCACTGTTTTTACCTTTACCTTTAGCATTTTGGTAATTTTTACCGTCGGTAACTAGTAATTTTTGTTTATGTATAACACCTCTTGTCCTTTGTGTTGTTTTTTATTGCTATGATTACATGTTAAATGCTAGATTGCTTTCTCCATTTTTTACATTTTATGTGTATGTTTTTGATGTTTTTTTAATATTTTTCACGACATTTACAAGGCGGCTTTGTTCTTTGCTTTTTTTTTTTGTGAGACAGTGTATTTGCCTTGAGGTTGTATTCCTTCTTGTTTTACACATTAGCACCTCTTCTGTTTTAAGATATGTTTGTTCGGTATATATATTTTTTGCTTATTTCTTTGTAGGTATTAATTTTCTAACTATAGTTTACATAGTTTTATTGTATTTTAACATATTTCACTGAAGTTCCATCTTTTTGTCTCGTTTTTCAAAGATTACGTATATCGGATATGTACTCAGCTATTTGTAAACGTTTTTTTTTTATGTTCTTTGTTAATTGTCGCTAATTTTCTGTCTCATGTCTCGTTTTTAGCATATTTCATTATGATTTATTGTATTAACTGTATTTTATTAGCTTTCCGACGGGTAGGTGTTTATTACTGTTTTGCATGTTTCCCCTTATAATTTTGATGATTTTTTTTTAATGTATATTCATTGCATATCAAATGCTTTGATTATTATTTCCTATTAGTCTGTTGGTGCTTATTACTTTTTGCAGGATGCCTCTTATAAGTTTGATGTTTTTTAATGCATTTTTCATTGCATGTTGACTGCTTTGATTATTAGTTCCTCTCCATCAATAAGTGTTTTATTACTTCATTGCATCTCGATTTTATTTGAAGGTTATTTGCTATCTGTCAGTATGTGTTTATTACTTTTTTTTTACTTGTTGTACACATTAGTACCTCTTCTGTTTTAAGATATGCTTTTCGTTCTTTCTGCTTCTTCTTTCTTTGTAGGGTGTTTTTTTTTATTGTAGTTTACATAGTTTATTATATTTTAGCATTTTCACGTTATATTTTGTTATGTTCTTTTGCAGTATTTATTTTGGTAGTATTTAACATTGTTTTATTATATGTTTAGCATTGTACCTCTGTAAAGCATATTTGACATTTATGAGTGGCTTTTCAATGGTTTTTACTTTCAGCTGTACCGTGACTAAGCATTATCGTCGAATTTAACGTTGATACTTATATAGGTTTTTTTATGTTAATTGTTTTTAATTCTATATTTAACCTATTTTGTATGAGATGCTGTAGTGTCAGTTTAACTGGTACGGATTGTTGGTGGAAATATATATTTACCGAAGCACAATACCAACCTACAAATAAAATATTGCCCGAAATGCCGTAGATAAAATATAGTACTCAACTTACCATTTGTATTCGCTAATTTTGTATATCACCCGAATTGTTATGAATATGATTACGAATAAGCCTCGATGTTCTGTTGGCGATAATAACTATGCAATTTATTCGAAGTCGAATAAAACGATTTTACGCTGGTATTTCCCTCGTGCCGCTGCATATGTGTCACTAAAGGCGTCTGAATGTCTCTGTTATGACGCTCTGTTACCCTCTGTGTACCTCTGTTATCCTCTGCTACGCTCTGTTTCCCTCTGTTATTGTGTCTTTGTCTTTTAAAATGTCGAACGTCACGTCACAACGTCACACGT